GGGGGGGGGGGGCAGGGTTAAAGCTTGGCATGTTCAAGTAAGGTCATGTTTAATTTTGTTAGAAACTGCCATACTCTTTTTCAGAGTGGCTGTGCCATTTTACATTCCCATCAGGGATATATGAGAAACCCAGTTTCTTTATGTACTTACCAGCACTCGGTATTGTCAGTCTCTTATTTTAGCCATCCGGGTAAGTGTACGGTGATATCACCTTGTGGTTTTAATTTGAATTTCCCTAATGGCTAATGATGTTGAACATCTTTTCATGTGCATATCTGCCATCTGTGGTGTCAGTGAAATGCCAATTCCTGTCCTTTGCCCACTTTTTTTTTAAAAAAATATATCTTTACTGATTTCAGAGAGAGGAAAGGAGATGGAGAGAGAGATATAGAAACATCAATGATGAGAGTCATTGATTGGCTGCAGCCCACAACCCGGGCATATGTCCTGACCGGGAATCGAACCCCGATCGCCTGGATCCTAGGTCCATGCTCAACCGCTGAGCCACGCCGGCCGGGCTGTCCACTTTCAAGTTGGATTGAACTAGATTTTGAGCAGGGATGAGACATGATCTGTTTCACGAAGATGACTCTAGTTGCTTTGAGAGTAACTCAGGGAGCCAAAAGGCCACACGGGACGGTTAGGCGGCTTTCTGGAAGTTCAGGAAACAGCTCATTGGGACTGGGGCTGGGCTTTAGCGCTGGGGATGCAGAAAAACGGACGCATCCTGGAACTCAGTCCTCTGCAGGTCGAGTTTACAGGACTTGCAGGCTCCTGGAGTGCACTTTACCGCGGGAGAAACGGGCTTGAGAGCAGGGGAATCAAAGCTCCGGACCTAAGTTTGAGTCGCTTGTCCAAGGGGACATGTCAGGTCCACTGTTGGAGGGAGAGGTCACAGGGCAGTGGCAGAGGGAGGAGAGGAGGGATTTAAGTGGCACTGCGAGGGGTGGGGTATTAGCAGGAAGAGGTGAATGGCTGAATATCAAAGTGGGGGTGGGGGCGTGTAAGTTCCAGACTAAACCACTGACTACGCGGGGCTCCCGCGCCCAGAAAGTGGAGCCGACCCAGCCCTGCCCCGAGGGACGCTCGGCGAGGGCGGGGTGCGGGGAGGCCGGGCCACACTTCGCCGCACCGTGAGCCAGGCTCCGGCGGAAGAGCCGCCAGGGGCCGAGCACCGGAGAGAGCGCGAGAGCTTCGCCCTCCTTTGGCTGAGGCCGGCGGGCATCCCGGAGGAGGTGTAATCTGAGCACAGCTTCCAAGGTCACACGGCGACACGAGGAAGCCTTTGACAAAAGAACTTCCGCGGGGTCTGAAGGACTTGGGATCCTGGAACAGCGCTCCCCAGGAAGGAAGGAGGAGGGGGCGGGGCGCGGGGCCGCGGCCGGGCGTGCACACGGACTTCTTCGGTCGAGGCTCGGCAATTCCTCCTCCAACTCCGGCTGATCCGGAAACAGCCGAGCGGATCCGGAAACAGCCGAGAGGACCCGGAAGCGGTGAGCGCGGTCACCAAGGAGTGCGGGACCCCGCCGTTTGCGCGGAGGCGATGGCGGCAGCTGCGCCGGCGGCCGCGGGTGAGGATGGCCGGCGACGGCCGCCGGGGACTGGTATGTGAGGACGCATCCGTGCACCGAGGGGCAGCAAAGCCGGAGG